GTTTTACTTGATCATCAGCGGTTTGTGGGTTTGTTCCAAAGGCATTTATTGCCTTCGTCCTCTGGGGCTGTACCTGGTAATGAAGCTTCAAATGATGAACCTCCAATGCCTCCTCCTTCTGGGGTTTTGTCAAGTACTGAGGCTCCGGATAACCACCCTCCGGTGCTTTCTCTTTCTGGGGCTCTACCGACTGCTGAGACTTCCCCTAAGAAACCTTTGTGAAGGCTCCCTTTTGTTTGTTTATTTTGACTCATGTATATGTACATATTTGTGGCTTATCGAAAATATTAATAAATAAGCTTTGCTTCATTTCAACATATTGTGTTAAATACACCAAAGCCTTCTTCATAAAGTTCTTTGAATTTTTGCTTTTGTTGAAACCTGTATTGTTGAAGCTTTGTGAGTGAAGCATGTAGTTTGAGGTAGTGCTCCCTTAATTTCCCGAGTGAGGAAAACTTCTCGGTTGGAGACTTGAAAAATCCAAGTCACTGAGTAGTCACGAACTTTTGAGTACCAAGGCGTAGTAGCATATGGTGGGAGTCCCCCAAGTCTCTAGTCGAGGGAGTTGACGAATGAGGTGTCTTGCTAATAGTCCATGTCGTAAGTACCAAAACTTCATTCTTTTGTTTTCTAAGTGGTAGCCCCGGACTTTTTCTTCATATATTTTGTTTATGAAGGTTGCTAGGCCCGAATAAGTGGAATTGCAGAAGGTGTAACGGTTGGTAGCTGTTTTATGGAAAGCCATCTGACTACGATAGTCTTGCACATGATGACTATAGGGAGATACACACACATACTGCTATGATAGAGGGTGTAACCGTTGGTGCATTACAATCATAATGGAAGCATCACAATGATGGAAGCATCACAATGATGAAAGCATCATAATGATGAAAACACCATAATGATGAAACATCATAATGATGTTTCTTTTGGTGGAATTGTTTTTCATTTCCCCTAACACCCTGAATTGGTTTTCAATATAAGACCATCATCTGTAGCTCGAATCACAAAGTTGTCTTCATGAAAGTTGTTCTTTAATTCCTTAACGACAACATATCCAAATTTGAGAGCCATCAGATCAGTACAACTCTAGAAATTCAGGTACGACGAGTGATTGTTCATCATTTGTCTGTCAACACGTCAGACCTGTCTTCTCAGTCCTCCTTTGCAGATGACGATAATTCCACGTTCATCTCCTTCCTTTTTCAACCACTTTGAATACCTCTCTCTCTCTCTCTCTCTCTCTCTCTCTCTCTCTCTCTAGCCATGGAAACACATCTCTATCCCTTCCAAAAAAATCTCTTTACTCCTTGTGATCACAACTACCATATGCCTTTTCCATGTTCAAAATTCTTCGGCTGCGGATGACGATCGATACCTCACTCAACTGCAGCGCGTCATTTCAATGCGCAAATTTTCGGGACGTTCCTTATCCTTTTTGGGGATCAAGCCGGCCAGATTATTGTGGCTTCCCCGATTTCAAGCTCAACTGCAGCGGAGATGCCCCGTGATCTCATTTTGAGGGCCAAGATTATCGAGTCCTCGATATAAACCGATCTACAAGTACTCTACGGGTTGCTAGAACGGACTTTTGGAACAATCTTTGTCCGGTGTCACTTGCCAATACCACCATAAAATCAAGCCATATCGAAAATACTTCGGATGCTCAAGAAGTACTTCTGTTCTACGATTGTCCACCAATTTTCATTCCTCTTCCAAATCAGCCCACAGGTCAGTTCAATTGCAGCGTAAACAGTAGGACCACTTTCATTAATTACTTTGTCACAAATTTAGAGCTGCCGAATATTAGTGGTTACTGCAACACGACTGTCACTGCCCGCGTTTCTCAATCCGCAGCTGCGGATTTGGGGTTGAATTCGTCCAAGGATAATCTGGTTGCTGCACTTGATTCCGGGTTTGGGTTGAAGTGGGATGCAAGTAATACCTTGTGTGGCCAATGTCAGGTGTCTGGGGGTCAGTGTGGGTACAATATATCTTCAGCTGAATTCACCTGTTTCTGTAAGGATGGACCTAATCCCGCAAGATGTGAAGGTATGCGCCTAAATATCTTTTCAGTATGTTTATGATAGAATTTAGATATTAATCTAACCAAAAACGAATTGGCAATACGTGGAATAGACTGTAGATTATTGACGTCGGATTGATGCACTCAACATTCCGGATTGAAATTAGTATTTGATAGTGAAAGAAATTGTTGTGCAGAATTTTCTTAAAAAATCCTGCACGACAAACTTATATTACCAGTTTAGGGTGGTTTATATCCATTTGTTTTAGGCTTTAGCACATCTTCATGTGTTTTTGTTAGAGACAAAGGAAAATGCGTGAGAGAAATGGGAGATGAAAGAGGGCGGAGGAAGGGTAGAGGAATGATGGTGCAATGCGGAAGCAATCTATATGGAATTAATCGGATTGAGAGAGAAGAGACGAACCCTAAGAGTATGCAACACACATTACGTGCTCGTGGCCATTTCTATGTCCTTAAACTAGTGATCTAACTATACGATCTTTTAAACTATCTCCAATTTTCTAAAGAAGTGATTTTCTTACACCTTTTTTCTCCTTCTTTGCTTCTTAAAACTACTAACTAACCATGTGCTCTTTTAAGTTCTCTTATTTTCTAGAAAGTAATTTCTGCGCACCATTTTCTCATCGTCTGTTGTTTTAAGCTTGCTCTCATGTTTTGTTCTTAAACAAGCTATGTAACCATGCTCACTACCAAACACCCTTCTCACTCCTATTCCAGGCTCTCAATCTCCATCCAATTTTCTTTCTGATTACCATGTCAAAACTCATATGAGGAATTCCATTTGGAACCTTCAAGTTGGGTGCCTTCTTTTTTCTGATTTCTTATTATCGTCTTTAATTTATGCTTCTAGATTCCAATCTTCCATTAGGCAGCTGGCATTTTCCATGCCAAAACAAAACCCACTCACATGTGTATCATATGTAGGTGCATTTTTTGGTCAATGCAAATCACCTTGGCAGAATGTTGATGACCATGTCATGGACTATGGTGCATCATGGTCCATTGAGATATATTGCTATTGAAAAAAAAACTAGGTTTAAGTACGAAAAACTCCTCAATCTTTTGGTGTTATTTCAAGTTAGTCCTTTTAAGTTTCAATTAATTTTTTATGTTAAATAGTACTCGTGGCAACGATGAGCCCACTAATAAGCTTATTTGAACAACAAAACTAAAAATAAAATAACGTAAAAAATAAAGATTAAAATAAACCAAAATGAACAAATAATATAAGAAAGGAACTATTTTTGTATTGGTCATAACTTGTTTGGTTCTCAGCAATCTTATGCTGCCTGCCATATAAGTTTTTCCGTACCGACATGGAGAACAGTTGGAGAAACATAATAAAATACTTATAAACAAGGTTCTAAAAGTCGCTAAGCGCTAGTTGGGCGGCGGGCTGGGGCCTAGCGCCTAGACGGCTAGGCGGGGCCTAGGTGGACTAGGCGGATTTAAGTAAATCTATCATATTTCAGGTAAATAAGTGTCTGCTTCTACTTGAAATATATATAATTTCATCATAAACTACAAAATATAATGAATATATATCATGAAGTATTGGAACATAATGAAAACATGTGAAATAAGGATATAATGTTTGTTCATTCAAGTATGCAACAAGTCTCTTACAATTTATTGGAAAAAAAAACAAAATGAAAAATGAAAGTTATGTATTTTCTGTTTAAGTGAGTTGCAACCTAGGCGGGTGCCTAGGCGGGCTAGGTGGGTGCCTAGGTGGTCTAGGCGGTGGGTTGGGGCCTAGGCATTAATCGGGGCGGTGGGCTGGGGCCTAGCGCCTAGACGGAGATTTTTAGAACAGTGTTTATAAGTATTAGATTAAACATTGATTATTTTTAAACCTTTTATTAGAACACAAGAACTAGAATGTGCATCTATTAATTACGATAATGCGTCATATTATTATGCAGAATTTTCTTCTATGTTTTTTTTTTTTAAACTGTGTTTCATATTTTGGGCTTAATTAGGGTTTATTTGAGTGTATTTTTTATTGGTTTCGAGTGCTTATATTTCAACAGAATAATACTTGACTCTATAAGTAGCCACATGTAAGAAGTCATTTATCTTCTTACATTACGCGTTGTAACATTTTGCCATGCAAACGGCATAGTTTGAACCATTAATTCATTGTCTTTATCATAATTTAAAGATGATCTCTAGATTTGTTTTTTAAATTTAAACACAGTTTAGTTATCCACATTAGTTGCACAAATTGACGGTCATGGTAACAAGTAATGTCCCCATGATTAACCATCAATTTTTTTCATTCATATGGAGAACTGGACGACCTCCAAAACAAATGAAGATGATTTGTATGTGATGATAAAGAGAACAAACGGTTTAGATTGTGAAGTTTGTATTATGAAATGATGTCACTTTGTTATGTAAAGAGAAATGACTCTTTACATGTAAGAAATCAAACAATGTGCAAAACAGATATGCTAGGAAACTATACTTTTCCAATACATTAGGAAGTTGTTGATTAGAGTGGATTTGCTTTGCATTTGAAGATGATCCTTTGACGTAAATTCAGTTATAAATTTTGGACAGGTCACTTTTGGCAAAAACTTCCTAGGTAGAGTTTTCTTTTATATTTGGTCAAATTTCTTTAGGTACAATTGAGGGAAGAACACGATTTCTTCCATGTTTTGATGTTGGTTGAAGAAAGCTCACATGCATGCATGCCTAAGGCATTAAACTACTAAAACATAGGTCCATTTAATCAAACTCTAGATGGAGATTGTTCTTTGTTAATTAACCACCCCCCCCCCCCCCCACTCCCCCGACCCACAAAACACCCCCCCACCATGATTTAATAATAACTAAATTGCATGTGCGTAGTTGTTGAACTTTTAAGCAAAATATTCAGCACACCTCTTTTTTTCTTCCATATGCTCTTTGATTACTTTTATATATTTTTTATTTTAAGTGAGAATTTTAACTAGAAACATGATACGCTAACTACTAGTACAATACATATCTTGTATGACATCTTCTTTTCACACCCAAAATCTCCCTACTTTGATCAACTGCCATTAATAAGAAATCATCTACTTGGGTTTCATTCACATTGTTTGACTCAAACCTTTTAGTAGTTGACCAACACTCGCACCGATCACAAATAATTAACAATAATTACGGTATTTAATGACAAATAATACTACAAATACTTGATGAAATTACCAAAATGCCCATCAATTATTGAACAAATAGAATTCCTTCCATAGCATGCCAACGCAAAGAAATCGAAACACAGCCTAAAAAGTAAAGTAAAAAGCGCACATCTTTTGTCGGCGGCCTCCGAAAAACATTCAAAAACTGTGTACAGTCCAACATTCAAGTCAACCAACGCCGCCCGCCACGTCATCGCAAAACCTCCATCCTTGCTCCACATTTCATCGCTGCACTCTGATCACTTCCCGCTTCGCCCGCCCCCCAACTCCCAGACGCTGTCGTTTCACTCCCACCTAACCCTCAATGCTCCCGCTCCTCTTCCTCTTCTTTCTCTTCTTCTTACTCTGCTCCGTCGACGTTGCGACGTCGTTTCCCGCCCATGCCGATCTCTCCAACTGCACCCAAACCTTCGACTGCGGTCCCCTCCGGAACCTCACCTACCCCTTCACCGGCGGTACCCGCCCCTCCTACTGCGGCCCGCCGGAGTTCCACCTCACCTGCGTCGACGACTCGCCCGAGTTGACCATCGGGCTGCTGAGCTACCGGATCCTCAAACTCGACCCGGCTCACCAGAACATGACCGTCGCCCGGTCCGACCTCTGGAACTCTACCTGCACCGACAAACTCGCGAACTCGACTCTTGAGTCCGAGTTCTTCAACTACGATGACGACGACGACATGGACGTCACTATTTTCTACGGCTGCAATTCCACTTTCATCGATCCCATGCCGCAGAATTGGTTTCTCTGCGACCTTAATTTCCCTTTCAAAGACGCTTATTACTTGATCGGGCCGGTGCCCCTCGACCCGATCGTGAGCGCGTTCAAGTGCGCCGTCGGGATTACGGTGCCGATTCTCAAAACCACGGCGGCGGTACTCGTCGGCAACCGGTCTCTGTTTAAGGAAGCGATCATGGCCGGGTTCAATGTCAATTATACGAACCCGTATGAGAAGCAGTGCGCTGAGTGTCTTAATGTCAATGGGCTTTGTGGGTTTGACTCGGATAAGAACCGACCCGTTTGCATTTGCGGCAAACGGTTGTGTGACCCGGCAGGTATTTTCCTTTTTCTGGGTATTGTAGAATTCACTCCTAGTGGTTTTGGGCAAGTTTTAGGTACTGCTTGGGGTGCCCAAATTTAAAAGTTTAGAGTGTTTTTGGTACCGTTTACATTCATTATTTTCGAAAACTATAACTTAGTTTTGAATTGAATATCGAACTTCCCCTTAAATATGTTGAGAGTTGCCCAGGACAAGGTTTGCTATGTGCCTATATGGTCTTGGGTTACTCCCCATATTGCCAATTAGTTTTATGATGGAACCTCAATTTCATCATGGTATCAGAGTGGGTTGTCCTCGTGTGAAGCCAAACAGCTACACGAGCTCCACGTCACCCAGTTGTTGTCCACGTGTAGGCTTAAAAATCCGCTACACGTGCGGGGCGTGTTGAGAGTTGTCCCACATCGGTGAGGGACAAGGTTTGCTCTTGGGCTACTCCCCATATTACCAATTGGTTTTTATGGTGGAACCTCAATTTCATCAAAATCAATATTAGTCTAGTCTCATTCATCCGAAAAATTAGAAGACCGTTGTGTACTGTACTACTTAACTAGTGTTGCGATCTCAATGTTTCGTTGATTTATTTGTTTTGGAACATGGATTTTTGTTTCTTTCTTTGACTCAATTAGACGAGACTAACTACTCTTTGAACTGCACAAGTAAACTGTTGTTTATACTTGTAGCAAAACTGCAAAACTATATAACCCCATATGGCATGTTCAGAGTTGATGCAGCATACATTTGGAGTTTAATTTGAAAATATGTGAAGTTTGCAACACTTTGTGTAGCAGAATCGTTGGTACACCGTACATTTGGGAGTATATTGTAGTGTATGACATGCAAAGTTCTTGATGCAAAAAGAATTCAAGTAGATGACTAATTCGGTCCACTGCTTATTAGTTTCCCATATATAAGTTTACTTGGTTTTATAGAAGCTGTATGGTATCAACAGTTTGTTAAATTCTCTTCATGTGTTTCTAACTTTCAAATCAAGTTTGGATGAGATGATGTTCTTTTTATTAACTTTTTGAATCTGCTATCAATTTTTTTTTTATTAACACTGCTTTCCTTTTCTTTTCTTTTTTTTGTAGGAAAAAAGACGGGAATCGCGATAGGTAATAAATCACTTCATTAACAACTTACTGTAATATTTCCACTGGCATCATGGGGCGGAGAAGAAAATCTAAACAGTATTTTGTTTCATCTTCAGGTCTTGCTGTAGGAGGTGCAATTCTTTTCGGCATTTTTGTTGGGTTCTATTTTTATTATTTCATCCAACGCAAGAAGAGGAAACTTGCTGCAGAGACTCAAAGCAAAGAGGTTCCTACACCCCTTACAAGCACTAGCGTTGCAACTCCCTCAACTAATCTCTCTCAATCTCAGAGCATCCCGTCTTATCCCTCTTTTACCTCCAAGTCTGACTATGATAATAAGGCGAGCACTTACTTTGGAGTTCAGGTCTTCACCTATACTGAATTAGAGGAAGCTACTGAAAATTTCAACCCCGCTAAAGAGCTTGGAGATGGAGGCTTTGGCACTGTTTACTATGGTTCGAAAATACTTCCTTTTCCACCTACTTTGCAAGCAATTTATCTCACCAACAGATAATCTTGATTATGTTTTGTTAAACGTTCTAATTGTTCGTCCAGGTAAACTACATGATGGCCGTGTAGTTGCAGTGAAGCGCCTTTATGAAAACAACTTCAAACGTGTGGAGCAATTTATGAATGAGGTCGAGATCTTAACTCGTCTTGAACACCGGAATCTTGTCAAGCTGTATGGATGCACCTCAAAACGCAGCCGAGAACTTCTCCTTGTTTATGAGTATATTCCTAATGGAACAGTGGCTGACCATCTCCATGGGAAACGAGTGGAATCTGGCTTTCTTAGTTGGCCTGTTAGATTGAGCATTGCCATAGATACAGCTGATGCACTGGCTTACCTCCATCGCAATGATGTAATACACCGCGATGTCAAGACCAACAATATTCTCCTAGACGACGACTTTTGCGTGAAAGTGGCTGATTTTGGTCTGTCACGCTTGTTCCCCAACGATGCCACCCATGTGTCAACTGCTCCGCAAGGGACTCCCGGCTATGTTGATCCCGAGTATTACCAGTGCTACCAACTCACAGACAAGAGTGACGTATATAGCTTTGGGGTGGTCCTGATCGAGCTTTTATCGTCATTACAAGCAGTGGACACCAATAGGCATCGGCTTGACATAAATTTGGCCAACCTGGCCGTCAACAAAATCCAAAACCATTTAGTAAATGAGCTGGTCGATCCTCTTCTCGGGTTTGAAACAAACGTTTCAGTTAGAAGGATGACAACAGCTGTGGCAGAATTGGCTTTCCGGTGTTTGCAACAGGAGAAGGATATGCGACCAACCATGGACGAAGTGTTGAAGGGTTTGAAAGCAGTCCAAAACGAAGATCTTGGTTCAGAAAACGGCGAAGCAGTGGTGCTGGATATCGGAGCAGACGAGGTTGGACTTTTGAGGAATATGCCACCCCCGCTTTCACCGGACTCGAATGGAACTGATAAATTGGTTAGCAGCTCTACCACACCTAGTTCCTTTTAGCAGTAGAGATTTCCATATCCTCCTTTTTTTTTCCAGTGGGCTGCAGCCTTGAGTTCTAAAACAGATGGTAAAAAGTATTGTATACTCTCATATACACGGATGTTAAAACTCGAGTGTCTTTCCATATCGTCAGTTGATTTTCTTTTGATTTGTTGATACAAGTTATATTGAAGAAGCATCATCACAATGTTGTGCATGCTTAGCAGACAATGTACATAAACAAGTGAAGCCATCAGCACTTGAAATGTATTTTTGTTAGTATTTTCTTATCGGTTTTTCGATATTACAAATAGAACATATTTAGGTTCAGCAAAGTTAGCTAAAACAATTTGCTCTATACTCTGCACCGAAGTTTGAACCCCTTTCCCTGTAGTTTAGACGTTTGTCAAAAACCTAATACATGGTTTTTCTTTTTCTTTTTTTTTAATAACCTTTCCTCACATTTTAATATTTCTTTTCTATTTTTCACCTCAACAGGTTTTTAAGAGATGGGACAAAACTATTTAATCCAAGCCATGGTGGTGAGACCAATCTGGCTGCTTCTATCCTCCAGATCGTGGGATTGATTTGGTAACTCGTAACTTGTAAATCTAGGATGCCACTACGCAAATTGTTATTGCCTGATTGGCGACTGACTTGGTATACGATGACACAATACGATACTTTCTTTATTATACAGTACGTACGGCAGAGATGAATTTGGACGGTACGGTATTTTGTGTGAATGTACAGTACAATTATGTATAATTATACATTTTTATATACACAATCAAACCAAACAATTATTCTTATTCTTCAATGCCATGTCATGGAGTACGCTAACAAGCTCATTTGTAAAAGCCCATTTTATTTAGAGCACGAAAGTTACGCGTGACATGTACATAAGAAAAAGTTGTTTGACAATTTGACACCAGAAGCCAAAGAAAAGCAAAAGATTTGAGGGGATAGCATCGGATTTCAATTTGTTAGACCTTGACTTTCACTTATTAAATTTGAGAAAGGAAGAACAAGTGTGACATTTACTACAACTAAAACGCTGTTTAGCGAGAAAAAACAAAAGATACAAAAAATTAAATATGAGATCGGTTGGTCATCGAACTTTATCAACAGGTGAATGGATTCAGTAAATGAATTACGAACCGTTTATCTATTTATTATAATTGATTGACTAAACAACATTGATTTAATTATTTTTTTATAAATATAATTTTTAAATTATTTATAATATAACAAAATAATCATAAGCAGAAAATTTTGTAAATCGACCGCTAAATGAATTGGGGAGAATTTCTTGTCAATGTATGAGAGCCAAGCCTTTTTCTTTCTAAAGCCCCGCCCCACACTCCACTTTGACACCTATGTTCTCCTCTCCACCAAAATACAAATAAATAAAATACATTTTTCAGCACTATTTGCTTGCTCACTCCAATCCCAACCCTCCCACTCCTCCCCAGATCAGATCTCACATTCCTCCACTCCACCACCACCCATGATTCTTAACCGTTGAATCGCCACCCGCAAAATTCACACCGCCAACTCATCGTTTACCATGGTGACCCTGCAAAAAGTCAAGCTTTTAGCGACTCAATGCGCCGTCACCGATAGCCCAACGCGGAGCCCATCGGCCAGCCCAGTCATTCACCTCCGCCGCCGCAAAACTCTAAGAATGTTCCTCTCCCGCCAGGACCACCGCCGATTGCCTAGCCGGACCAATTCCTCAAAATCTCCACCCATCGACGGCGACAATCGCGACGGTGATCCGCCGCAGAAGAGCAAGGATGTCGCTCGGGTTCGGC